ATGATCTGCCTAAGGACCGGTTGGGTGGGCCTTGGCTAGGTGGTCATGTGAGTGGGTGGCTGGGTGAGTGTGGCCAACTTGATGTCACTTACATCAAGGGGCTCCTTGCTGGTGTCTACTAAGCAGCCACCACGAGAGAAAGAATTGGCAAAAAAAAGTCGGCTTAGTCCAAATTGGATCTGACGGAGGCTCAGCAGAAGCACCTCACTGAGGACTACGAGCATAGGCTTTCCAAGCAGAGGGAAGCCCTGCGGGAGTGCAAGGCTACGTACCGGCACCTGGAGACTCAGTGAGCTGAGATGCTCAGCCACTTCCAGGCCAGGAAGTGGCCCCACTGGAATAAGGCCCTCCGGCTCTTCGCCACCAGTGGCCCTTCCCTCCAGCCTTCGCCCAAAGCCCCACACCAGGAGGCTGAAGCAGACCCCAAATAGGAGTTTCTGCCCCTCTCCGACCTGCACAAAAAGACCCCGAAGGGAGAAACTTAGCAGCAACGCAAACATTCATTGAACATAGCCAGCCCAGCGGCCGAAGTTTGAGGAGCCCTGATTTAGTGCAATATTAAAAAATGCAAGTAATTTTTCTGCGGACCGCCAAAATTTGATCACGGACAAATGGTGATCCAATCTCTTCTGAAGATGGAGGACCCACAACTTCCAGGGTTCAATTCCTTTCACAGATTAATTGCTTGGGAAATGCCTCCTTATTTCTACATTAGGCCTCTCCTTGATTGGTTTCTATCTGTTGCCTCTTGTCTTCCCTGCGGGTGCTTTGGAGATTAGATTATTGGCCTCTTCTTCCTTGTGGTAGCCTCTTAGATATTGGAACATTGTTATCCTGCCTCCTCTAGTTCTTCTCTTCGTTAGGCTAGACCTGTGATGCTGAACTTACGGCGCGTGTGCCACAGGGGGCACGCAGAGCCATTTGTGCAGGCACGCGAGCCTCAGCCAAATTTACCTGCACTGCGCATGCGTGCGCCTCCCAGCTAATTTTCGGCCCGTTTGAGGCCGCTTTCACCCTCCCGGAGGCTCGAAGGAGGCCCCTGCAACCTCAGGAGGCCGAAAAATGAGGCTTCCGGAAGTGCTGAAATGGGCCTGTTTTCAGCCTCCTGAGGCTCCAGAGGCTTCCCTTGAGCCTCTGGGAGGTCGAAAACGGCCTCCCTCGGGCTCCGGAGGCTGAAAAAGGGACACTTCCGGTATTTCCAGAAGGCCCGTTTTTCGGCCTCCCGAGGCTGCAAAGGCTTTTGTCGAGCCTCCGGGAGGGCAAAAACGGCTTCAAACGGGCCACAAATAAGCTGGGAGGTGCGCGCATGCGCAGTGCAGGTAAGGGGGCGGGGCGGTGGTGTTGCATGCGCAGGGGGGCAGGGCGCATTGCATTGTGGGTGCCGGCACGTACGTGTGCTATTATGCACATGCGCGCTTTCGGCACACCACAACAAAAAGGTTCGCCATCGCTGGACTAGACAGACCCAATTCCTGCAACCGTTCTTCATATGTTTTAGCCTCCAGTCCCCTCATCATCTTTTGCTCTTCTCTGCACTCTTTCCAGAATCTCAACATCTTTTCTATATCATGGAGACCAAAACTGGATGCAGTATTCCAAGTGCAGCTCCGGTGGCCCAGAGGTGGAGCTCTCACCTCACAATCAGGAGGCTGTGAGTTGGATCCTAGGTAGAGGCTAATATTCGAAATAGACTCTCCTGCTCGAGCAGGGGGTTGGACTAGATGACCTCCAAGGTCCCTTCCAACTCTGTTATTCTATGATTCTAAGTGTGGTCTTACCAAAGCATTATAAAGTGGCATTAACACTTCACTTATAGACTCCTCACATCCCGGACATAAACTGTTTCAATTCCTTCCTCAAAAGGACGCTATAGAGCACTGCACACCAGAACAACTAGACACAAGGACAGTTTTTCCCCCCAAATGCCATCACCCTGCTAAACAAAAAATTCCCTCAACACTGTCCAACTATTTACGAAGTCTGCACTACTATTACTATTAATCTTCTCATCGCTCCTTATCACCCATCCCCTCCCACTTGTGACTGTATGACTGTAACTTTGTCGCTTGTATCCTTATGATTTATATTGATGGTTTCCTAGTATGATTTGATTGCTTTTTGTACCCTATCACTATTGTTTAGTGTTGCACCTTATGATTCTTGACTCTTGACGAATGTATCTTTTTATGTACACTGAGAGCATTTGCACCAAGACAAATTCCTTGTGTGTCCAATCACACTTGGCCAATAAAAAATTCCATTCTATTCTATTCATGTGATCTGTTAATGCAGCCTAGAACTGTGTTGGCTTTTTTGGCAGCTGCTGCACACTACTGGCTCATATTTAATTTCATATCATATATATTTAATACTCATGTTCATGTCCACTAGGACTCCAAGATCCCTCTCACAGTTATTACTATTGAGCAGGGTACCACCTATTCTATACCTAATGGGAATTAGAGAGACTCACAACTTTGCAACTAAAAACAATTAAATCAACAAAAACTTAACAACAACAAAAATTTAAAATAATCATTAATTCATTTAAAAGATTTGTATGGCCACCCATAATTCTGGGCTCGATCCCTTTTCTCCTATCTCTCTTATCTCTTAGAAATATTCTTTGAACCTAGTCTTAATTAACTAAGGTGTGTTTAATAACATATTGAATAACGAGAGCGGTCTTCCATCGTAGTAATCTGAATTATGATTTGAAAGCCATAAAGGATAAGTTTATGTGGCATATTAAGGCAAAGTCCTCTGATTAAGGTTAGCTTTCCCCCCCATTTTCCTCAAAAGTTTCCCTAAGTATGTTTTGTAACTGCAGAGTTGAATTGCTGTCATATACCATACTACTTTGATTAAATAGCGTTGGCAGTTTGTGACATTGTTAAAATTTGGTCCTCCGTCAACTACGTCTTCGATTGTTCTCCATTATCTGGGTGTTTTGGAAGTAAGAAGAAATCTGTGGAGATAATCTTTGTCGCATTTGAGATAGTTAATTTGACCCCAAAAGGTTGATGCCTATAAAAACAGGTGGAAATGTATCTTGAAATGTGTGTAACTTAGATCTACATTTATTATACTTTGTGAGGAGAAAAAAAAGTTTTGTGCTCCCTGCGAATTTTTAAATAAAAGGAAAGCAGCACTTGGTTCCCCATAGACACAGGCGGGGAGAGGCAGAAAAAAAACTACTCTGATCCTTGAATATTTCTGGGGCACTAAAAACCCTATTTTATTTATTTATTATTTTATTTATTATTAAATTTATTTGCTTCCCATCTTGCTATGGAGCCAGGAGTCTTTGGCCTTCTGAAACTGAAGCTACACCTGGAGGATAATTGTACAGGTAGTGGTTATACAGCCGGTCGCTTAGCAACTGTTCAAATATTCAACGGACTCCCTTAAAATTAGTTACAACCCAGTTGCAAAGTTCCTACCCCCCCCCCATATGATCATGTGACTACATTTCAGGTGCTAGGCAACCGGCCCACATTTGCAGCCATTTCCTACCTGTATGTCCTTCAGGCCTGTTAGGTCTTGTGGTTGTTTGTTGATAAAAAAATAAATAAATAATAGCCTGGAGTTACTTGATAAGGCCCTTGTAACCTGTTTGACATGCAATGTGCACCTGCACAATTGCTCTGGCTTCACCTCCTTTCAAAAGAATAGAATAGAGTAGAATGGAACGGAACAGAACAACAGAACAGAACAGAACAAAATTCTAAAAGCTTCTACCTTTTAACCACATTTCTTAGTCGGAAAAGGGACTTATTAGATTCCTTCTGAGATTCCCCTGACACACAACGTTAACATAACCGCATTCTAAGAAAACCTAATCCTTTTTAAATCTTTTTTTTTTTTAATTTTTAAAGTGCCTCAGCCCTCTGAGTTGTGTATGTGTCTGTGTGCATTTTTTGCTTAAATGAATTACTATAATAGAATAACAAGAGTTGGAAAGGAAAGAGGTGAAACAGCCCTAGGATAACCAGCCTGGAAACAGAGAGAGTTTCTACTGAGCTTGGTGGTTTTCCTTAGACGTTTCATTACCAAACAAGGTAACGTCATCAATGCACTGATGACGTTATCTAGTTGGGTATGAAACGTCTACAAGAAAACCACCAGGCTCAGAGAGCACCGAGGACCCCACAATTCAACCCTGAGCTACAAATATGCTATATTTCATTTACAGAAAGGGCATAATCTAAATAGAACGAAAAACCTTATCGCCCATCCCCTCCCATTTGTGACTGTATGACTGTAACTTTGTCTCTTGTATCCTTACAATTTTTATTGACTGTTTCCTAGTATGATTTGATTGCTTATTGTACCCTAGGGCTATTATTAAGTGTAAGTATTGATTCTTGACGAATGTCACTTTTCTTTTTATGTACACTGAGAGTATTTACACCAAGACAAATTCCTTGTGTTTCCAATCACACTTGGCCAATAAAGAATTCTATTCTATTCTATTCTATTCTATTCTATTCTATTCTATTCTATTCTATAGGTAGTCCTACAGAATAACAGAGTTGGAAGGGACCTTGGAGGTCTTCTAGTCCACCCCGCTGCTCAAGCAGGAAACCTTATACCATTCCAGACAATAGTTGTCCAGTCTCTTCTTAAAACACTCCAGTGTTGGAGCACTCAAAACTTCTTAAGGCCAGACATTCCACTGATTAATTGTTTTAATTGTCAGGAAATTTCTCCTTCATTCTAGGTTGGTTCTGTCCGTTGAGATGATCCTCGAAGTCTCCTCTCTCTCTTTTTTTTTTTTGGCGTATCTCACACTTTTTCTTCTGTTTGGTTTGTGTTCATTTAGGAGGAAGGAGCTCCCTCTGCAAATCGAGAGAGGCCAACGCAGCGTCTTCTGTAACTTGGAAGCTAACCAGCGTCCTGGCTCGGGGTTCCTCTTTGCCAATCCAGACGGAGAAAATGTGTTTTGGATTTCAAACCAGAATTTGAAAGAAGTGGGGGAAAAGGCCGTTTAATTATTCCAGTTAGCTTAATCGGGGGAACAGGTGTTTTTTTTAAAGAAGTGATCCCGTTCCAAATTGGTGGCTTGACAGTTCAGGGAGACATGGAGCCAAAATCTAGAAGTCCAGAAGGGGAACGTGTAAGGAAACCTTGCAGTGATGATTTTTCCAAATGCACAGAGATGGAGCACTTAGGCTGGAAGCTATCTCAAGAAATCAAACTGGAATCTTTCCGTGGGATGCAGCAACCCTGGAAAACCCAGTGGCAGGACTTCCTGAAGACCTTGCCATGTCCCCACGTGGGGTGGGAGGAGGACTCTGAGATGCTGGCCAGCGTTCCTTGGGATGACCCCAAGGCCTTCCTGGCCTCCTTCGAGCAGGTGGCCCGTGCCTGCCAGTGGCCCAGGGGCGAGTGGGTGCCTCGTCTGCTGCCAGCCCTGAGCGGAGAAGCGAAGCGGGCTTTCAGCGGCTTAGAAGCAAAGGACAAGGAGGATTATGGGAAAGTGAAGGAGGCCATCTTGAGAGGGGAAGCCATACGGATCGAAGTGCAGCGGCAGCACTTCCGGCAGTTCCGCTTCCAGGAGATCGAAGACCCGCGTAGGGTTTACGGACAACTGCAGAGGCTTTGCCGCCAGTGGCTGAAGCCGGAGAGACACACCAAGGAGCAGATCTTGGAGCTGCTGATCCTGGAGCAGTTCCTGGCCAGCCTCCCACCGGAGCTCCAGAGCTGGATCCGACCTGGAGGATCGGACACGTATTCCCAGGCGGCGGCTCTGATAGAGAATTTCCTGCTGAACCGGCAGGAGGTTAAGGTAGGAAAGTGGCTGGTCTGTAATATTTGAGCCTCTCTGCAGGACAGGTGAATTAAGTTTCAGTACAGGTTGTCTGTCATCGTTCTGAGTAACGCATCCACCAAAATCACAACTCTGAGGCAGGCAGATTCCTCAGAGAACATGTTTATTGGAACCTTCTATTTTTATCCATCCATCCATCCATCTATGTGACATCATCACAAAATCTCCAGAACCATAAAAGCCTACAAACTTGAAATTTGGCACAGATGTCCCTCTTGGCTTCTAGGTGCTCACTAAGAAAGGATTTTTCGAAATGACCATCAGAGCATTAATATTTCATATATTATTATTATTATTATTATTAACACGCTCTGATGCTAAGGAGTTCTATTCCCCCTTCCCACCTGAAAAGAAATCTGTTTTAAATGCAAAACAACAAGCAGAGCAGAGAAGTTTCAGTTTTAGTTTCACAGCACCAAGTAGTAGCTTTAGTACAAAACAGTTGAGCTAAGCCACGCCCGGGCTCCTTGCTGTCTCCTGGCTCACACGGCAAATACTGCTTCAGTTTCCAAACAGCCCTCTACTCTCTCACACACTGACAGGATTTTAGCCAGATGAATACTGATGGATGCTGGTAAGGCAGAGGCAGAATTTCCCCCCCCTTATTTTCCTCCCCAAAAACTAAGCATGATCACATAGTTTTGTAATGAAGCAGGGTATAGAACTAGTACATACATATACGTGTTAGGCACATACCAGGTAAGCAGTCAATCTTCATTACTATGCACAGAGAGCTACATTGGAGATGTAGTTTCATTGGACACCAGGAGAGAGAGAGATAAGCCCTCTTATGGCCTCCCTTACATAGACAGCTTCTTAAAGCAGCAATGTCCTGCTGACTCAATTCTCATTGCATCAGCATTTAGAGCGGCTGGTCAGCTCTTAAATCTTCAATACCGGAGAGCGGGTACATACTACAGAGTGAGACCGTATTGAATGTGTAGGGAGGGTGTTGCAGCACAACTGTTTGCTACGGAGTATTCTGCAAGAGGGCCCCTCAGGAGAAAGGCAGCGGGTGCAACTTGCGGTCTTTTCTACTGGCTTCCGCATTGATGAGTAGGTGGCAAGGAAGGTTGCAAATGGTGACCACATGACCACAGGGCCCTGCGGGCGTTGTAAGGGTGAGCCAGTTGCCAACTGGTTTCATTCGTCGCAACTTCAAGCAGTCGCTGAACGAATGGCCGTTAACCGAGGACCACCTGTAAGAGAAGACCGTCTGTCAGGTGGTGCTCCATTCAAAATTCAAGAAAGAAATACTTAAGACTCTTTAGATTAGAGAAAAGATACCTTTTACTGAAAATGAAGTGGTAGCATCAGTAGAATTCTGAATCTGAGAAATTAGGCGCGCAGATCACATATACAAAGTGATGGAAATGTTCCCACCCCCCATAGTTCAAATGATTCTTCCAATTAAAAGTTGTGAAGATGATCATGTGGTGATCATCAGGTGGTGATGAGGCCTCTGTCCGTTGACCTTGGCATATTTTGATAAAGATTTGCAGCTGCGCAGAGAAAAGAGAGCTAAGCGAGAAATAGAAACCTAAATAGGAATTTATACTCCCCCCTCTCCTCATTTTACACAACACAAGAATGTAATACCTCCAGCTCGCTTCCCAGACAATATCCCCCCTCCTCCCCCCGTTACTTATGGCAGCCGAAAGATGCAAAGCAGTAGTAGAAGATCTTGAAGGCTGACACCGTCGGTGCTCAGTTTTGGCAGAATTGTTCATGCTTTGGCTTCATTCTCCCGGCCTGATCCAAAACGGGATTCTCCTCTCTTGTTTAGGAGCCGTCGCAGGAGGTGATCGCCAAGACCGCCCTGGCCGAAGAGCGGATTACTTTGGATGTTGACCAGGAAGCGATCTATAAAGACATTAAGCAGGACAATCACGGAGGGATCCATTTGTCGGGTGAGGAAACGCCAAGGATTAAAGCAGGGTCTTCCATCGTGGGTGTTTGTGTGTGGGGTTTTGTTTTTTTTTCCCCAAAAAAAGCCAAGATGGCCTTCCTCAAGGAACAGTGGCTGCCTTCAGATCGCACTGTGGTGTCCCACTCACTCACACGCACACTTAAACGGTGGTTTTTGTGGGTTTATCTTGTCTAGGAAACTTTCAAGGGCCTTGTGGACTCATTGGCTATTGCTCTGTGGACTAGCATTGGTCTGCTTTTGTCTGGACGTAGTCCGGACCAGCGGTCACCAACTGGTGGTTCATAGACCACTGCTGCTTAGCTCTAACCACTGCTTCCTGTGGGGGCCTTAAGGAGCCCAGGCGGGCATGCGAGGAGGGGCTGGGAGGGGGAGGGGCGTGTAGAGGCCAGCGAGGCGCCCCTCGACATGAGTGACATCGAGTTGGCCACACCCTCCCAGTCACATGACCACCTAGCCACGCCCATCCAGCCAGTTCTTAGGCAGATCATATTCATGGTCCACCAGATTTAAAATTATGAATTTAGTGGTCCCTCAGGTGCAAAAGGTTGGTGACCCCTGGTCTGGACCGTTCTGGGTTTTTGGTGAAGGGAAATTGATGGGGAATATTAATAAACCCACTTGCAGTGGCCTCGAGGTAGAGCTCTCGCCTCACAATCAGGAGGCTGTGAGTTCGATCCTAGGTAGAGGCAGATATTTCTCCGGGCACACTGAGAATATATCTGCTAAACAAAACTCCGCATTGGTGACAGGAAAGGCATCCGGCCATTAACGCCCTCTGCTAGCTCCATTCTGTTGCCCAGACTCCATCCTGCAAGGGATTGTGGGGTCATTAAATGAAGATGATGATGATTAATAAACCCACTGAACCATCATTACATGTGCCTGTGAATGAGCACAACAGCACACACACACACACACACGCACAGACCACTATTCCAGTTTGTCCAGCTTTGGGTTGTCACAATGTGTGA